TAAACATATGACTTGACATGCGCGAAAAGTTTCAGTGTGCCACTTTAAAACAATAAAAAGAGTAATTTATGATGAAATTTTTTTCATTTTAGAATGCTTTACGGAGAGCTATAAACTTACTAGTATTTAAAGGATGATACTAACTCGATATCAAATCACATCTATATAATTACAACGGGTGGCTTAATCATCTACCAAAATAAAATAATAATAATAAAAAAAAAATTAAAAAAAATGGAAAATATCTGAATAGTGAACACTAAAGATAGTAATGAACTCAACATTGATTTATTGGGCTGAACACCTCAACAAACCCATAAACTAAAAACCCAAATATTAAAATAACCCAATAACACAATTTTCAATCAAGATTAAAAATTTTCTATCAGTATCCAACCACCATGATTTTGCCACGTGTTTAGTTGTTGAATATACTGAATTCCAACACCACCTTCTCAACAAAACCCTAACACTTAGCTTTCTTCATCGTCTGCAGCAATGGTGAGTTTCTCTCTCCTCTTTCTCTCTCTTCAATTCATCTCTAATCCTAGAACCCTCCATTATTTTCATGGATTACAAGTAATATATTGTTGATTTTTTTGGTTTTTGGGTGATGAATTAAACAGGGAAAAGGAACAGGGAGTTTTGGTAAGAGAAGGAACAAGACCCACACACTTTGTGTGCGATGTGGTCGCCGTAGTTTCCATCTTCAGAAGAGCCGTTGCTCTGCCTGTGCTTATCCCGCCGCTCGCACTAGGAAATGTATGCACTTTGTTATTATCTCTCTTATTTTAGATTCTGTAAATTTTGGTTTTGTTTATTTGCTGGTTTTTTTGAAGAAAAATGATTAAGAATTGAACTGGGTTTTTGATGTTTGGGAATGGGTAGATCTTGGTTGTGGTGATTATTTCTATGTTGCATTTTGATTGTTATATTGATTGTTTGATAATGGGTTAGTGTTATTTTGGATTAGTTGTTGATATTTTTACTTCATTTCATTGAGATTAATTTAATTTTGTTGTCTTTTTATGGGGTATTTACATTGATAACTTGCATTATTGTTTGATGATTTTGCATATTGTTGGGATTAATTTAGGCCTACCTGACCTTGCAATTGGTGGCTTTGTTTGTATTTTTGTGTGGTTTAAACTTGGAGCTTTAAGCAATTAATATGTTGTGTATTACTCTGTAGCTGCATATATATGTGTGTGTCGAATTGTTTTGATTGGTTGGTTTAGTACTAGATTTCTCTTATTAATTTTGAGTGAGCTTGTATTGAATTGTGGTGTTGGATGTTTGTGGGGTGAGTATAGATAACTGGAGTCAGAAGGCAATCAGGAGGAAGACAACCGGAACTGGACGTATGAGGTACCTCCGCAATGTTCCACGCCGTTTCAAGACTGGTTTCAGAGAGGGTATGTAGTTTATTCTTAAACGAGTAGCTTGTTTGTTTTGATTTTAAGGTTTATGATTGATGGCTGTTTTGCTTTGGTTAGGTACTCAAGCAGCACCAAGGAAGCTAGGCGCAGCTGCATTAGCTTAAAGAGAGTGAAAGTTTCAGAGGGGTTAATTTGGGTACTTCAAGCATTTAGCTCCAATTTTGAATACTTGAAGTGTTTGACTAGCCCTTATTTTTATTTAAAGAATTTGGAGACATTGTATTGTGATCAGAATGATACTACTGGATTTTGTTTCTCTTTTCAATGTGTTAGCTTTAAAATTTTGAGGTTTAATGATGAGATTATTAGTAGTTTTAGATTTTGATATTTGGTGAAACGTTTTATATTCTATTGCTCCATATTAATTTCATTGGTAAGGTTGATTTAGTTTGATACTTTCCTTGGTTATCTTCCCTTCTGGATTGATAAGTATATCGTTGCGCAATTGTTGATGTGGTTTGATTCCACCAGAGTCGAGTGTAGGAAAGAATAGGTAAGTTTGTGTGGCTGATTATTTATCATCTATCATATTCTTTGATCAAGATTTTACATTGTTTTTCTCTTATTTGAGTATGATGGAAGAAATATGCTTGGAGAGTAGTGTGCTACATTACTCTTTGGGTAGGATAAAAAGATCATGGTTGGATTGGTTGGTGTTATGTTAACATGCTATTCATACATTTTGAATGTTGAAATGTTTAGAATGTCATCCCATTCTCTGTGCTTGAAAATTGCCATTTACATCTGAAGTTCATATTCTGCAAGCTTGTTATTCGTGCATTTTGAAAATGTTGGATGATATAAAATAGTGTTTGACCTAAAGAAGGCAAGTTACTTGTATATTTGATTACACCTCTGAAGCATGTTTGAGTGCTGGCCTTTATTTCTTCAAAGCTACTATGTTGTCATGGCTACATTGGAAGATTGGAGTTCCTCACTTGGTTGAGCTATACTTGAGAACTCTTTGTGTATGTAACTGTTTGGACTTTGGAGAGCTGAGAGGGAGGGTAGCTTAGTTCTGGACCGGGAAGATTATGTGTTTGTTGGAAACAATATACTGGAGATTAGTACACCCTTAGTTATTTTTAATTTGCTATTACCTTTAGTAAAAGTCCTTTTTAGTTAAGTGATTCCATGACCTATATATTTGAATTAGAAGTTATTGGCTAGTAGATAGTAATGTACAATTTGCATTGTTATTCCGAGGTGGTTTTGGAAATGTTTGCATTGTAATTGGAGAAACATGTTTATATGGTACTGTTACTGTGGATGGTAATAGAATATCTGAAAGAATGATTGATGAGGAAGTGCATAATGTATGAATTGTGATAATCAAAGAAACATGTTTCGCTGTACTGTTATTTGTAGAGCTACTTCAGGTAAAAACTAAATGAGAGCTTTGTGATGTGGAAATCCTTGTATGCCTACTACGAACACGTGTTGGTAAATTTATCAAATGGCAATTGTTATAAGAACAAGCTTAGTGGAGTACTGAAGGTTTTGCTACTGGAGAACATTAAACTTTGATCTGTGGAATTATCTTCCTTTTATAGAATTGATCGGGATTGAAAGACCAACTATTATTGAGTATTGGTTGGACTTGCAAATTGAGGATTACTATGGACTACTATGATATCTGATGTGAGTCTAATAGTTCATTGTGTGTTTATGTTGTGGCTAATTATCATTCATTACTCATTAGGCTTCAATTGTGCAATATCTATGGCGCTGATGAACAATTTGGCGCAAGTGGGATTGCTCCAGGAAAAGCTTTAAGTTGTACGAGTACTAGCCATTATTTACAGATTACAAATTTATTATCTCCATATTCACGAAGTAATTGAGCTGTTATGTACATGTAAATCTTGTATTACAATGGCAAAAGGTGTAATCACTTTGTTCTAGTGTCTAGATTGGGGGATACAAATGTGGCATTCACTTCTCCATCAACAGCTTGTCGGGAGAACAATTGTATTCGAGTTGGAGTATTGTTATCATCTGTGGGATCTTAGAAACAAAGATAAAAATGTCTACTTGAAAATCAACGTTTGGTTCAGCACATTTAAAAATTTGTCCTGCAATAAGGAGAAAATGAATCACATATAGGAGCAGGAAACTGAATCTAGTGATCTACAAGGTTTCTGACGATGTATCTGAAACATTTTCAAAATTTACATTACACTTTTTAAGCACAAAAATCCAGTGCTGTAAATCAGTGGCTTTCACCTACATTGTGGGGGGTAAAGGGTCAACTTGCAAATGGAAAATTCTGTGGTTCATCTGTATTCTGTAACATCCTCAAAATCTACAGAACTCAGCAGTCCAATCAACTAAAGAACTGGGGACTCAGTTTGTGCTGTCAAGATTTACTCAAAATATAGATGTTCTAGATATTTCAAATGGGCTAAATATGTTCTTGTATGGCTTTTGGCACTCGGCAGATTTTTGCAAAACTTTCAAGTAGCCTTGAATTCTCCAAACTAGTGTTGTTCTTCATGTAGCTGCTTGAAAACATGATTTAGCTCTGGAAATGCATATATACAAAAGCACAAGTTGAAGGAGATCCACGACAGGCTGTTTCAGACAAACAGATGACTGCCAAACACAAACAATATCAGAAAACTTGAGGTTGTATCCTCTTTGCCATATTGATGAAATAGGAACATGATATAAAAAGATTGTAATAAATCAATTATTTGTGCAGCTATTTCATGCTTAAATATTTCACACTCTTTATATATTTTATTCCATTTTAAAAACTTAAAATGCATCATATGAATTAGTAGATGTTTGACACAAAATAAAACCCCACAAAAGGAGCAAAAATAACATCACTAGATAAACACATATTTTTTTAATTAGCATCTATCATATTAAAAATGAACTTGAATTCTTTCAAAAAAAAAAAAAAAAAAAAAACTTGAATTACAAGCTCTTTTTGAATTATCTTGAGACAGACAAACTCCCCTTTAAAAAAATATTCATTAAAAACAGGATTTTTTGACTTATAACACCACAAAATAGTCAAAATTTTGATTGAACACCATAAAATTCAAAATTTTTATTATAACACCACAAAAAAAATACCCAAAAATTTGATTTCACCACCCCTTAATGAATTTTTGGATGGAATCTGTTAGTGAGACCAACTACGTACATATATCAATAAAGCATTGGTTTTACAAAACATAAAATAAAAGGAAAAATTAAAAAAAAAGAAAAAGGAAAAAACCCTAAAACCACCCAGCCACCACCCCTACACCGACGACGATATTTTGCGGTGATATTTTTCTAAGCAAGAAGAACAACCTAAAGAGCTTGAAATATTTTGAGTTGACTAGCTAGCAATAGGTGGACCAAGGTCTACCCAAAAATTTGCATTTTTACGACCCAAACTTAGGCCTAGCTTGAAATCTTAATTTAAAATGGACCAATTTAATCAACGCTCAGCCCAACCCATGATCATCTCTAGTGCTTTTAGTCCTATACTCGCACATTATTTGCATTAGGGCGTGTACGATACTTTCCAAAGGTTGAAAACATACACCGATTACAATATTTACGCGACGAAGACCAAGACGTCCAAGAGGGGTTGGTCGTAGGTCACCTGCCTAATGTAATGCCTATGGTAAGTATGATCATATGACAGATAATCGAAATTGCGGCACACCTTCGCATTCTAAAAAATTCCTTAAAAATTCCGTCTTTTTGTTTGGGTCCCCAGATTCACTTTCCCCTCAAAATTCCAATCACACCCTTCTTAGTTGGCATCAATTCAATAAAGCCTGTCAAAACTAAAAGTCGTCAAAACTGCCACAATCACGCTACACTTAAAAAAAAAAAAAAAAAACCACTAATTTTACTTTTACATAAAAACGACACCGTTTCTTACTTTTACATAAAAACGACACCATTTCTTACTGTTTCCGACATTATACTCTACACTAGTGTAAACCCACTGTACTAAGAAAAATCAAAAACAGCAACCAACGTCTCTCAACTTTCATTTTCTCTCTCCTACTTTTCCGACCCTACTTTCTCTCGATGTCTGCGCCGGCGCCGGAAGTTTCGCCGTTAATTCCGGCGGATAACGCGACGGCTGAAACGCCCCCTGCGCCGCCGTCGGGTGAAGCCGCCGCCATTCCGCCGGGACCACCCGCTGCTATTCCGCCGGAAAACTCGGGTTCTTTTCCGTTGACTCCGTCAACGCCGTCTTCGGGAATGTCGAAGGAAACATTGACTGCTTTGGTGGTTGGAATTGGGCTTGGAGGGTTAATTGTTTTGATTGCTGTGGGTATTTTCGTCTTTTTTTACAAGCGGAGGAAGCGGAAGCAACCGCAGGAAGATCAGTTGATGTTGCCTATTAAGCGTATGATTTTATTATTTGTTTCTTCAATTTTGTTTATTTGTTGGTTTAAAGTTTAATTAATAGAATGTGATGTTTGTTTGTGTTTATTTTTAGTAAATTTTGAATTTTTTGTATTTATTGATATTTTCTTGTTTGTTTAATCGTATGAAATTGTCGTTATTAATGGCTGCTCTGACGGATTTATAAGTGTTATTAATTAAAATATTGACAAGGGTTGTTTGGTTAGGTATGTGCTTGGTTTAATTTAATTATTAATTTGATGTTTGAACTTGTACATTGAAGGAATTTGTTGGTGATATGGGATCTTATTTTTGGGGGTGGTGGTGGTATTTGTTAACGTAAACTCGAGCGATTTGGTGATTTGAACGTGGTTTAACTAGTTATCAAGGCAGAGTGTGATCCAATTTTAGAAACTTTTGGAGATGTGTTATTGAAGACATTTGGTTTGACAAATACATGGGTTTTGATGTCCTTGTTGTATGAAATGTGTTAATGAAGAATTTGGCTTGGGAAGTTCCATGACAAATATGTGTTAATGTCCTTGTTATATGAGATGTTGCATAGATGCCGTATTAGGTTAATTGAGTGACTTGCTTTTGGTGATTAGTTTTTCAACATTGAGTGATTAATATAGGGGTTACTTGGTCTTCACAGTTTCCGTCTGCTGTTATCATCAGACTGCACTCTTGTTCTCTGGACTGGAGTCATGTGTCCTTTTTACACGCTTCATAGACTGCAGAAGGAGTAACTACATAAGTGCTACACTGATATAAGTTTATGAAGTTTACGATGCCTAAGCATAGTATTGTATTACAATGTTGCCAATCTTATTAGGTAGGAACTTGACATCAGATCCTTGGACTCAAGGTGTGAAAGGAACTTATGGGAGTTCCCTTTGTGATTGACGATTGATTAGGAAATTTCAATTTATTTTGTAACTTGAAGCCATTAAGTTCTGAAGCACTGATTTACTCTTTGTGCTTAATAGATCTGTGCTTTAGTATCACACTGTTACTTTCCTGCCCCTAATATGCAAGTTTATTGTAAAGAAAAGTAGATATCCTTCACTTTAGCATTGTTTTTAGTTGAGGCCTTCAGGATTAAGGATAAAGGGTTCTGTGGTTTCTTCTGGTGATTGTATGTTATAATGATATGCTTCTCTCACCTATATACTGTTTTTATTCTGGTGACTATTCATGATTAGCGTTACTGTCACGATCTTTTATCTAGGCTTTAGTTGTCAATATTTGACTTTTAACATCAGTTTGATCTGATAGGTATCACATGAATTGACATTGTGACACTAGCTCTTCTTATCATATCTCCCCGTCTCTGTCTCACCTTCTATAATTACAAATTCCCTAATGTTGTTCATTGTGATTTATTCATTATTCTTATAATTATATTAGAGCATCCATTTCATATTATTGGTGTATAGATGCATTTATGGTGAAGTGCATTGCAGTTTCACTCTCCAATAACTAAGGGGCAAATGGTTGTTTTATTGTGCTTTACATGAGGTGGCTATCTCATCTTCTTTTGTTTCCCTTTTCTTTTTATTTTTTTACTTGCTGTTCTCCCAAGCTTATCATACTGTTCACTATTTCCAGATAAACCTAGTGGTGGACAGGCCCAACAGTTACAGCACAATATGCCTCCGTCTATGAATAATATACAGTCACCACAACCCCAATGTGCTGTAGTACCAATACCACCATCCTCAAGTAGCAGCTTGGGCTCTGATAAGTCACATCCAGCACAACCCCCTGGGCAGTCATTGTCCTCGCTGCCCTTCCCAAATGGCACATTCACTTATGAAGAATTAGTTTTGGCAACAGACAACTTTTCAAGTGCCAATCTTCTTGGTCAGGGGGGTTTTGGATATGTCCATAAAGGAGTCCTGCCTAATGGGAAAGAGATTGCAGTCAAACAGTTGAAATCTGGAAGTGTCCAGGGGGAGCGCGAGTTCCAGGCTGAGGTTGAAACAATTAGTCGTGTTCATCACAGGCATCTTGTTTCACTTGTTGGACATTGCATTTCTGGAGAACAACGAATGCTTGTGTATGAGTTCATTTCAAACAAGACCTTGGATTTCCATTTGCATGGTATGTTCTTGTTTGACATCTTACCTATGAAATTACTTTCAAGTATGCAATTTCAACATTGATTCTGTTTTTACATTTTGAGTCTTGCTTTTGGACTTATATTCTACAGCATGATTAAATTGGATATTTTGTCAATTTTTTTGATTGGGCTACGAAAATGTGCTCACGTGAACCAAGTATTAAGTAGAACTTTGTGTTAACTCATGAATCATCTAGCAGTCTGAGCCTTGCAGCCTTCTTCCTAAGTTTTCAACTTTTTTTGGGCTTGAGGAGGTTTAGGTATTAATTCTAGTTTCTAAATTGCATTCAAATAAAGAAAATTTGCAATTTTTACTGTGAAGTATGTCTAGACCTAATCTTGTTTTCGTTAATATCTTGAACTTTAGATTAATGTATTGGCTTTTTTCGTTTTAACATTGATTGAAATCATGGTTACTTTAGTTGGCTCATGAACTTTTTTGGTCATGTTACAGAGTAAATTAGTAATGCAATTTGTATTACATCTAACCAAATTCTCTATTGGTGTAAAAGTGGTTGTAATGCATTTCTTTTTAATGTGGGATTTCTGTTGTTGTTCAAGGTCTCTCATTTGAACAATGAGGGTTCCTGTCTCAACTTTTTACATGTAGTAAAAAACTTGTAATTTCTCATGTCATGTTATAATGGAGTTTTGTGGTGTTGTAGAAGCAAAACCACCTATGAATTGGGCAACGAGGCTGAAAATTGCTATTGGTGCTGCAAAAGGATTGGCATACCTTCATGAAGACTGTGAGTTCCTTGGTGCTCGTATAATCATTTGGAAGGATCCTGATTTTGTCTCAAATGGTTGTTGACTTTTGGCTAGTTTATTTTGTATACAGGTCATCCAAAAATCATTCATCGAGATATCAAGGCATCAAATATTCTTATTGATGAGGAGTTTGAAGCCAAGGTCAGGAATTTCATGCAATTTAATAATATATTGTATTTATCATCTACAATTTGGTAAATTTAAGTTGAATTGGTGGATGTGATGTTGTATTTGTGAGAATATGATTCAGACTTTTCATGTGGTTCTGAAGTGCTGATTAGATTATCTACTTTTATGCTCCCAGGTTGCAGACTTTGGACTTGCGAAGTTTTCTTTTGACACAGACACTCATGTGTCCACCAGGGTTATGGGAACTTTTGGGTAAGATAAATAATATGCTGTCTGAAATCTCCCTGTTGAGATGTTAATTACATCAGTGACTAATTTGTTGAGGTGATCTGCAGTTACTTGGCTCCGGAATATGCCTCAAGCGGGAAACTCACTGAAAAATCAGATGTCTTTTCCTTTGGGGTTGTGCTTCTGGAATTGATTACAGGACGTAGACCTGTTGATAAAGCTCGTCCCTTCATGGATGATAGCATGGTTGAATGGGTGAGCTTTCTTTGTCTAATCTCACAAGGTCTCTTAGACTGTAGGTATTAACAAGTCTTGCACTCCAATGCTACAGTTTTTGAAGGTTCTTAATGTTGAATTTGTAGGCAAGGCCATTGCTGTCACATGCCTTAGAAGGTGGAAGCTTTCAGGAACTTGTTGATACAAGATTGGAGGACTACAATTTTACTGAGATGGCTTCCATGATTGCTTGTGCTGCTGTATGTGTTCGTAGCTCTGCAAGACGACGGCCGCAAATGAGTCAGGTAACTGGCTGAGGATTGAGAACAGAATTGCTATTGGGAAAATACATATAATATCCGTCTGCAGATCTAATTTTCTGCCTCAAATTTGTGTTGATTTTATTGAAATGTTCCATTGATTAATTTATTACAACTCCTTGAGCTGATAGATTTATTACAACTCCTTGAGCTGATAGTCTGAAACTGCATCTTTCAACTCTTAAGTCCATCCTTCAATTAATGCAGGTTGTAAGAGCTCTGGAAGGGAACTTGTCTGTCGAGGATCTGTTGAAAGAAATTCCACCAGACAACAGAGCATTCCACGGAAGCACAGATTATGACTCTAATAGTGCCCAATACAAGGAGGATTTAAAGAAATTCAGGAAACTAGCACTTGAAAGCCAAGAGCAAAGCACTGGCGAGTACAGCGTATTCACCAACGAGCATGGTGTACCCCCATCAACCTCGAGTACTGAGAATCAACTTGATACCCAGGAGGTCGAAACTGGGAAATCTAAAACAGGAACCACAAGTGTGCTTGAAATTCCTGTAGAATGAATAGGTTAAACCTTTGGAATTTATTAATGTAAGCTTGATTCATCATTCTTTAAGATGCTCCATTTAGTAATATTGGTGTCAAATAGAGTTAGGTGTACAAAGTTTTTGTCGATTAGTCCTACTATTATTAACTTAATATTGGCATAGGTCACTGTAAATGTTCACTTGTTCAGATACATGAGCTTGAGACTAACTAGTGCATTCTTTTTTACTATACATGAACTAGCCAAAAGTTTGCCATGCATACGCTTTTTCGCTTTTTGGAGTTACTAAACAATAATGTACTTTTATACGAAGTATAATATTTTTGTTTTTGGTTTAGTGTATTTGTTCATCATATAGCTCTAAAAAATTTGGAAATACAAATAAACATTTACCATACCTTCAAAACTACCCTTTTTTTTTTTTTTTTTTTTTTTTTTTTTTTTTTTTTTTTTTTGAAACTAATAAAGCTTAGTTAAACTACTTAAATGGGCTACCTTTAAAATCAATGTGTAAATATAAATAGGGAAAGTCACAACGGTGACCCCTAACTTATGCTACACACCAATGGTCACTTCCTTTTTTTTTTTATTACACATAAGGACCCTAATTAAGAAATTTATCTCACATATGACATTAATGAGTGTTATTTATTTAAAAAAAAAAAAACTAACTATGGTTAACCTTGGAAAAAAAAATAAAAACTAAAACTAAAAACCACCAACCCAGCCACCACCTTCACCTTCATCCCCACCAGATGTAGCCAGCCCCACCTGCCAGCCAAGCTCCCCCCGTCGGCGACACTGCTCCAAGCTTACCCCGCCGACGACGCTGATCAACCTCGACCACCGCCCAACCAGAATCCCCAACCCGCCAAAGAACCTCCTTCTCTCTCCTCACCGCCACCACCACCTCTACCCTCTTCCTCACCTCAACCCGACATTCCCCACCAGACCAAGAACCGCAATGCCACCAGACCAAACCCACTGCTCATCCTCCCACCACAACCCACGAACCTCCTTCTCTCTCCTCTAACCTCTCCTATACGCCCAGATCTAAACCCGACCGTCGCTCCTAGTTTGATCTACAAAATCCAAATCGTGCTTGGGTTCGGCGGTCTGGGGGTGGTCGGGGTTCTGAGTTCGGCGACCTAGTGGTGGTGACGGTGAGAAGGACGAGAGGGAGGGAGGGTTGTGGGCGGGAATTTGGGAATCTGGCTTGGTGGTGATCAAGGTGGAGTTGGCGCAGGGTCACCGGCGGTCTAGGGAATCTGGACAGTGTCCGTGGCGATCGATGGAACATGGGGTAGTGTCGCCGGAAGGGAGATGGTGGCTGGTTTTTGGTGGTTGGGGTTAATTTTTATATTTATTTTTTATTTTTATAAATAGAAATCTAATCATAGTTAATATTTAATGAAATAAGGTTATGAGTGAGATTAAATTTTTAGCTAAGGTCATTTTGAATAATAAATAAAAAAAGAGAGGTGACCATTGACGCGTAGTAAAAGTTAAGGGTCATCGAGAATTTCCCATATAAATAACATATTTTTTGGGGTATTATAGGAAATTTAAATATGAAAATTTATACGGAGTATTTATTAATTACTATAAGTTGAAGTTGTAACCGCCATAGTAATCCTATATATAAACAGAACTAAATAAAGCCTCAAATGTTTAGACTCATTTCATCTCTTTTACAAATTACAATATAAAACGCCGTAATTTGAAGCAAATTCGGAATTCCATGGCTGAAACTAGCTCTGTAAGTTGTTAAACTTGTTATTTATTTCACAAAGTTCAATTTCCTGTTTATATAATATGCAAAGGAGTGTAGTTTCTAGCGCTAATTATTTCATTGATTTATGGCTTATTAGGGTTTTAAGTTGGCTAATAATTTTGTGAATTCTAGCCTAATTGTTTCTGTTACTGTGTTAATAATAATTTTTGTTTGATTCATAACTGATTATGATCATACTAGAATTTGTATTGGCTTGTGCTCATTTTAGAGCAATGGAGATGTACATTATGCCCTACAAAATACAAAGAAAGTTGTCATGCATGAAGAGATGTACATAAAAAAATAAAATTGTCATATATTAAAATTTGAGGGAATGCATTTTTTTTAGGTCATAACATTAATATGAAATTTTTTATACATTATGATCAATGTTAAAAAAAAAAAGTGCATTCTTCTGTTCGAAAGTAATAGTCCCATGGTCCATATATAAAAATTTGGGGTATTTTAGGGTTTTGACTCGATCGATTCTACTTGATCCAAAGAATAGTGTTTGGAGTACGGCTGGAGATGGTAAAAAGGTGTTTTTTTTTTTTTTTTTTTTTTTTAAAAAAAACAGATGGTAATAACTAATAAGTTGCTTAATTGTGCTGAAGTCATGGTTTTGTTCTCGTTAAAAAAAAAAATTGGTTTTGTTAGAGATATAAGATATGTATATATATATATTTTTTTTAGAAAAGATATGAGTAATATAATCATATAATATAATCAATATTGGTAAATGTACTGGAGTAATCAATATATTTCCATATTAATATTAGAAGACTAATATCTTTAGAATTATTTACGTTAATATATGCATGATTCAATGAATAATATCTATAGGATATCCGGTATTATTTTCTTAGAGATGGTATTATACTACTTTCCTAATAATCAAGATATTGTGATTATATTTTTTGATACTGATATATCTCATCTCTGACATGGTTGATGGCGGTTATGTTCATCTCTTGGCCTTGCATATATTGGACTGAATATTATATAGTCTTTTTCGAGTTCTTCCATTAATTTTTAGCAGTATTGCCTACTTTATGATAACCCTTGATGATGATGCAACTCATGTCCCTGTATTCCTTTAATACCTTTTCTAGTTCTTCATGTTTTCTTTTTAGTCCAGGGTACTTACAGTACACAACTGACGAGTATGTGTGCTGCTTTAGGAATTGTGTTCCATATGCTTAGGAAGTTTGAAAGCAGGAGAAGGCCGAGCATTGTACACAGCAGAGTGCTCCCACGCCTTCCATTACACCTGCATTGCCTACAATTTTCAACATGGGAATCGCGCTTGCCCAACATGTGGTTCCTATTGGAGAAACCCCCCTTTCTTTAATGCATCCTTTAGCCCTTACCCTGGGAACATTCAAAGTCCTCTCCATTTTGCTTTTGCTGATGACGAGCCCCTCCAATCCTTGCCTCCGACCACAGCTGCCTCTTCCTCGACTACACCACTCCAACAGGGTGCCAACATGACAGTAAAAGCCTTTCCTGAGTATCCTGCTATAAGCAGGTCAGACCAGTCTGAGTCCTTTGCTGTCCTTGTTGGAATCCAGGCACCTCCTTTGTTTCTGAAAGCTTCTGACAGCACGGAAGAAAGGGCCCCAATTGATCTCATTGCAGTCCTTGATGTGAGTGGAAGTATGACAGGCAAAAAGATAAAACTCCTTAAGCAGGCAATGGGGTTTGTGATCAGCAATTTGGGTCCAAAGACCGACTGTCGGTTATCACATTTTCAACCTCAGCCTGGCGGGTGACTCCACTCCGGAGGATGACTGACACAGGGAAAAGTAGTAGTATCTGCGGTGTCAAGTCCCTTCATGCTGATGGTACCACTAACATCATTGCAGGACTGAAAATGGCTGTGCAGGTTCTTGAGCAGCGCCGGGAGAAGAATCCTGTCTCCGGCATTATTCTTCTGTCTGATGGTCAGGACAACCAAAATGGAGTTGGTCCACAGTTTCTCCGTGCCCTCCGCCTCCTTCCACCTTGCATCCGCTCGAATGACACAGATGCTACCAATTATGCTCCTCAAAATGATGCAGTTCCAGTCCACACATTTGATTTTGGCTCTAACCATGATGCTACTGCACTGCACGCAATTGCAGATGTATGGATCACACGGGACCTTCTCTTACATTGAGTCAATTCGGATCATCCAGGATGCTTTTGCTCAGTGCATAGGTGGACTGTTGAGTGTGGTGGCACAACAGGTAGAAATACAGGTAGCGTCTTCCTCTCCCGAGGTCCTAATCCAGTCCATCCCCTCAGGAAGGCATCGAAACAGCATTGGTTGCAGTAAATAGCATGGGGTGATATATGTAGGCGATGTGTACGCTGAGGAGGAGAAGCAATTCCTAGTCTATCTCTCAATTCCAACAGCTGATCATGGCGCATTGACAACACCGTTATTGGAAGTCAAGTGTTCTTATAAGGACCCGCTTTCTAAGCAAAGCATCAGGACCGAAACAGTTAAAGTTGAGATTCGCAGGCCAGCTGCTGAGGACTTATCTGACACGGATAGGCAGGTGTTCTTAGAGGTGAATAAGGAGAAACACCGCGTCTCTTTAGCAGAAGGTATTGCTCAGGCACATGAGATGGAAGAGAGGGGTGAGCTACAAGCAGCTCATTCATACTTGGATAACCATAGCACGATTCTTCGAGAAGAATCAGTTGAGGGAGGCGACGATTATGAGGACGAGGTGAAAGGAATACAGCAGATGATGGCAAATGAGAGGGTGTACAAAGATACAGGGAAGGCTTATATCAAATCAAGGATAGTCTCTCATTGTTATCAGAGAGCCTCAACTCAAGCTGTGCAGTTCCATTGTAAAACCACTAAACTTGTAGGTAAGTGTAATTCAAATTATCAAACATCCTACATGAAGAAAATGTTGAAAAAGTCGCGGGCTACACGCCAGTGATGATGAGCAAGCCCAGCAACCTGCTCAAACTAAGAAAAACAAAAGAATACCATGAAGGATTGATGCTCATCTACTGGCTATTAGTGATTGTTCTTGCGGAACATTTTAGATTCTGGTTTGAATAACATAATACTCTTAGAGTTGGATTTCGGTTGTTTGATTTTGGTACATATGACATTAAACTGTTGCGTGCAATAATATGTTTGCTTGGTAACACTTTTTTTATGTTCTTGTCCTCTGACCATTACAGCAGCACTAATTTTGTGTTTCAATTATGCAGATGTCACCCCTTTCTAATAGTAAAATCAATTTTTTATATTTTTTTTTTTTTTAATCTCAGTCAGCAAAAAATCTGTTTCTAGATGCCTCTTATGTACTTTAAGTATTTGACCTACAAGTATAGGAGGTGGATTTTGGATTTATTAAATATTCATGACTATTAATCGTGGTGTTTAGTAGATAGTGTATATTGTATGATTTGTATCCAAAATATAGTTATAGCTTGGTAACACTTAGTTGCAAGGTTTATTTAATTAGGACAACTGTAAAATATTCTATCTTTAGTCTATTACAGTGTGCAGTATACTACGATCTGAGCTATTTGCATTCCACAGGACGAACTTCTCCTCTTACTGCTACCAGGTTTTTAGGTGGACCTTTTATTTTGCGCGTGTAACAGTCTGTATGTATGTTATTTTTAACAAATGGTCTACCATCCTTTTTTTTATTGCTAGGAGAGAACTTCTATGGAACTGGCCTCCACGAGTACACACCATTATATCATAATTGATCATATTAATCTATATAGTAATAACATAATTAGATGGCTCTGCTGTCATCTGATCGAAATAAATTCGTAGTTGATTTCTTTTGTTTATTTCAAACTATAGCTGACTTTTTCTTGTAATCACTTCATAGTTCATACCATTATTCTAGAATTCTAGTCAATGATGTTGGATTGTATAAAAGAAAAACACAAAAAGAAGAAGCAATTAAAGACTTCATGATCAACTGTATGATTTGAAGAAGCAACCATGACATTTCTTGAAAAAATGGTATTCAGAATTTTCCTAATGTTTCAACTATGTTATCTTGGTTATTCAGAGCCCCAATTTGTAAGCTCTTTTTGTATACAAAAGAGTGGCTCTTATAGTAAGAATAGCCTGTATCAAGATAATCTGAGTCTCGTTTTCAGCAATCTAACTTCTTCTGCATCAATTAAAGGCTTCGCTAACTTCACTGCTGATGAAGGCGTTGACAAAGTATATGCTCTCTTCTACTGCAGAGGTGACCTGAACATGTCAGACTGCAGCAACTGTGTTGAAACTGCGACATCTAGAATTGTTTATGAATGCCCCAATAAGAAAGAAGCAATAGTTTTTTTTGAAGAATGTACACTTCGTTATGCCAACCGCTCTATATTCTCCATCGAGGAGGAAGATCCAAATGATTGGTCTTACAGTGAAGCTATGGTTTCTGATAAAGATCAGTTCAACGATGTACTTACAGCAGCGATGAGTGGCCCTATGAATCAGGCTGCTTATAATAGTTCCAAACGAGGTTTTTCTACCGGTGTTACTACAAACTCTTCTGCAAATCAGACTGTATATTGCCTTGCACAATGTACTCCGGACATTCATGGCAGTCCATGCCACAAATGCCTCCTTGCAGCACTTGATAACCTGATTGATGAGGGGAGAACTAAGATGAGTCTTTTTATGCCGAGTTGTCAGGTTATGTATTCTCTTGCTCCTTTCTTCAGTATTAAGCAGGAGCCAAGCTCTTCACCGAATGATCCTGCTCTCAAATCTCCTGCAGATGCACCGTCTTTTCAAGTCCCCCCTCCTTCCGAAAGTAAGTAAATCATCTATCTGCAATCAATTTTCATTGCTTTGATTAAGTTTACATGTATCAACCACAGTAGAATTATTGTTAAATTTTGTTTTGGTGGGCAGGACATACTAAAAAGTACATAGCTGCAGGAGTCAGCGCTGCTTTAGGATTGTTTGTTATGTTTTTTGCTCTTTGGTTTTGGTTGGGTAAGAGAAGGGTGACTATGAAATGCGAAAAAACCCAACAGATTTCGCATAATGTGCAGAGCACATTTACTTATGAAGAGCTAGCTTTGGCAACAAATAGTTTTTCAAGTGCCAATGTTCTTGGTCAAGGTGGTTTTGGATTTGTTTACAAAGGAGTCCTGCCTAATGGTATAGAAGTTGCAGTCAAACAGTTGAAAACTGGAAGTGCACAGGGGGAGCGCGAGTTTCAGGCAGAAGTTGAAATTATTAGCCTTGTGCACCATAGACATTTGGTTTCGCTTGTTGGATATTGTATTTCTGGAGATCAGCGATTGCTTGTGTACGAGTTCATTCCCAACAAAACCATGGAATACCATTTACATGGTAAGCTCTTTGGTGATCAACATAGTACCATCCAGTGGTCATCTTTGATTGCACGGACTGTATTTCTAGAAAATTAGTATTGATCAAGATAACAAATTCAAAGAAAATAGGGGGGAAATTATGAAATGTTTCAGTTTATCTTCTGTATCTTATTTCCGATATTTCAGGACCTGGTTTAATGGATATTGACATTTTTGTAGGTGATGAAATCCCACCTATGAGTTGGCAAACAAGGTTAAAAATTGCTTTAGGTGCAGCAAAAGGATTGACATATCTTCATGAGGAATGTATGTGACTTAGTAGACCTCAATTTCTTGTACTTATTTTAAGGATGTTGATTCCATTTCCTCATGGACTTTAGATGAGTCAAAATTGATGTTTGGCTGTAAATATGTGTCTGCAGGTTCTTCAAAAATCATTCACCGAGATATCAAGGCAACGAATATACTTATCGATGACGAGTTTAATGCTAAGGTCCAAACTTCTTGCTATAATGAACTGAATTTTTCATTTACCTGTCCTGTACTTTTGTTAGCTTCAAGTTGGACTATAGATGGTATTTTCATCCTGTGTGATTATAATGGTTTTTGAAGTGATAACTGATAATCATTCCTACCATATATTTCTTATTTGGTTAGTTGTTTAACAATCTTAAGAGCTCACCAGAAGGGGAACGGACTTCTAGGAAGACCCCTCGTCCCCTCCCATACTATAAGACTAAAACAAGCTAGGCAAAGGCCTTAAAAAATTATATAAACGAAAAGAAACTAATCTATAAACATGTTTTGTTTAGTTTGGAACTTGTAATATATGCTATTTTAGTCTTTACAAATTGTTGACAGAGCTCTGACTTTCTGCTGCCAAATGATCCAAACTGTCCTGTTCCTTTCGTGCTAAAGATAATAAACCACAGTTGCTGCCTGCTGTAATTGCATTTTAAAAATGCCTTCTGAAGTTATCATCTTTTCTGCGTGCAATGCACTTCAGATCACTAGGATAGAGAGCACCCTTCTTCAACACCACACCATATCATCATAGTATACAATGGACCGGTTGCTACACTATCAGTCAAATTATAAATTAGTACTCAGTATTAAATTTGAATTTCCCTCTCATCAGCACAAATTCCAATTTATGCATCTTGTCCCTAATCATCAGTCTGCCCTTCACAGCAATCCAAAACACGAACCTGTGGGTAGGGACTGTAAATCTGCTGCAATCCGAGAAACTTTCTTCTGCCTTGTTCTCACAGAGCTTTTTATATGCAACAATAAAAAGTTTTTTTTTTTTTTTTTTTTTTTTTTTTTTTGGCATCTGACTCACTTTATTTGCAGTATACACTTCTTTATTGCACTGATGTAAAATTTGCATGTTCTTCACCTTTCCAGGTTGCAGACTTTGGACTTGCAAAGTTTTTCTTAGACACAGATACTCATGTATCGACTAGAGTCGTGGGAACTATCGGGTAAGATTGATACTTTACCACTTAATTTTTCTCTGTTCTTATGTAGTCTTACCTCATACATGTTAAGAACATAATCAGCTAATATTTTGTAATTTGCAGTTACCTAGCACCAGAGTATGCTGCAAGTGGGAAACTTACTGAAAAGTCAGATGTCTTTTCCTTTGGGGTTGTGCTTCTGGAATTGATTACAGGGCGTAGACCTGTTGATAGAATCCGTCGCTTTAACGATGATGGCATGGTTGAATGGGTGAGATTTCCTTTTCAACCTTTTAAAAACTCATAATATCCAAGTGGATCATGATTCATCAATGTTCTTAGACCGCCATCTTTGGCTTATAGAGGACAGTCGTAAAGTTGTTTGTCCATTTTGAACTTGCAGGCTAGGCCGTTGTTAAAACAAGCTCTAGAAGGTGGAAGCTTTAGTGAAGTAGTTGATCCAAGATTAGAAGAATATAATCCCTATGAGATGGCACAAATGATTGCTTGTGCAGCTGCATGTGTTCGCAGCTCTGCTAGACAACGGCCTCAAATGAGTCAGGTACATGTTGCTTCAAGTGAATATGTAACTCCTTTGTCCATAATTAATTGTCACATACAATGTTTTAGTGTATATGTCCGGAAATAGCTTGTGGGTTTCCTAATTTAGCAGCGGTTTATGTTTGATTTTTTCAATGTATAAATACTAAAACTATAAGTGATGAGGAGATCCTATATGGGATATATATTACTCTTTTGTGCAACTGATCATGCCATATCTTTAATTATGTCGGGTTGGGACAATGTGACTATTAATTCCATACGGAAATTTATTTATTCTGCAGGATTTAGACCTTGTACATATATCTGATCTGTTTATCATCTGGTTGATGCAGGTATTACAAGCTCTTGAAGGGAACTTGTCAGCTGAGGACCTTCTGAAAGAAAGCACAACAGATAACGATATGTTCAAAGAAATTTCAGTCGACGACTCTAGTGGCCAGCACAAGGAGGATTTACAGAAACTTGAGAAGTTAGCTCTACAAAGCTATGCTCAAAGTACTGATAAATTCAGTGGAACCACCAGCGAGCTCATATCTACCTCGAGTACTGAAAACCAACAAGATACCCTGGAGTTATAGAAAATGAATACTGTGAAACAGGAGTGGTAACTCCAAGACCAATAATTAACTATTACAACCTTTATTTACGTGTACATATATAGATGTTATATTGTTACGACAATTTTCCTTTCTAAATTATTAGATTAAGGGTGAGCCCCAGTTTCTCTTCTTGAGAAACAATCATCGTTTCTCTAATGACAGGAATGGTAAATAAAAGCAAAACTATCAATTTTTTTTTTTTTTTTTATTGGATGCTGACTCACCCATCTTCCTCCTTTCTCAACATAACAATGGCAGTTTATGCAACGGCCACAACATACACCAACCTCAATTCGGCGGCGAATCAACGAAAACCCTAAGAAAACGGGAGAAATTAAGGGCATTGTTAACTCTAAAGGGTAGGTGTTTTCCTCCTTCATTGAAATTAAGCATTGGGCGTTTGTCAATTTATTCGATGGTGTATGGGAAACTCAAAGGCTGCTTCAATGATGGAGAAAAAACTCAAAGGCAGCTTCAATGGAGTACTATGGCGGGGAGAGAGAAAACTCAAATGCTGCTTCAATGGTACTCTATGGCGGGGAGAGAGAAAGAAATTGAGGACTGGTTGTGAATGGAGAAAAGGGAAAGAGACAACTAAATTACAATTTTATCCCTATTTTAGTGGTTTAAAAGACAATTTTAACCCCTTGAGATACATGTGATGTTTATCAATATGACAAACTTGTATTTGCCCTTAGATTAATGACACTATATTGTTCTCTTAATCTCTTTGAACATAGATGTGAAAAGTGAGCTATAGGATGTTACTTTGTTTGAGTTCTTCATCAATGATGTTTAAATAAAGTAATCAGGGAAAGAGAAGGAAGAGGAAGCGAGGGATTTGTTGTTTTTCCCTCATTTGGATATGGGCATATGGCTTGGTAGAGAAGGAAGGGTAGAGAATTGTAAGGATTTGTTAAAATTCTTCCATTGTTGAGCTCACTTTCTTCCATTTCTTTACCTTGGTTGTATTAAAACTTGACTTTGTAGAAAACTTAATTTTTATGAACTTATTTTAATTTATTTTGTTTAAAATAAGTTAGAAAAATCACACCAAATAGACCCTATGTCAATATAATTTTAGGAGCACTTTTTGTATTAGAGATAGGGGGGATAATCACCTCAATTAGCACCCTAAATATAAACGAATAAATAATACATCATTAGATTCAATCTTGAGCTCCATATCCATTCACAAAGTTCTCCCCAGTTATTGAGGCTACACTTGGTAGGAAGGACCGCGCGTTCGATGATCTCCGCAACAACAATTGGGAGGGGAATGGAACCTAACCACTCAAAACTGAGCCCCGAATCCGGATTAGTCCAAAGGATGAACCGGGTGGAACACCAAAAAAACAAAGTTCTCCCCAGTTATTGTAAGTCCACATGCTAAAAAAGTGCACCCTCTTAGGCCTTGTTTAGTTCAACTTATTTCAGAAAAAATAAGTTCAGATTAGATCAAAAAAAATAATTTCAGATCAGATCATCGTTTTATGTGCAATTTTTTATCACTAAATATCTTTAATTTCGTGATGAAAAAAATTATGCAAATACACATTATTATGAATCTAACAAGACCTTACTTGATATATTTTTTCCTTATAGATTATCGTACACTTAAAGTCAAAGTTTGGTCAAATCTGACAATTAGATCAGACCAGATCAAATCAAATAGCTTCAGATAAGCAAAAATAAGGTGAACTAAACAAATAATACGTCTTAGGTGCACCCTACTAAACCACACCCTATAAAATTGAGCATTTAGGCCTTGTTTGGATTAGGGGTAATATACTATGGGGATAATAAAAGTCAGACTTGAAAAAATATAAGTAATTAGAGGTGTTGTAGGAGGCATGGTGTTTACAAATGAAATAAAGTAATTGTGCCATGAGGAAAAGAGAGAGATGGAGGAATTATTACCCTCATAATGAGGGTAATAGTTACCTACCACTACTAGATCAGAATTCGGTTAAATTGCAACCGTTTTTCTACGACCGTAAAAAAAAACGGTCGCAAAATATGAAATCTGCAACAGATTTTTTCGCGGTCGCAATATTACGACTGTTTTGGAAAGGGTCGCATATTTGCGATCGTTTTTAGCCTTTTAAACAGGTTGCAAGGATGTTTGAATAATTAAAATAATTCTAAATTAAAATAACTCTTTCAACAATCAAAACAGTTGAAAATAGCGACTGTTTATAAAACAGTCGTAATTTGTGACCGCTAAAAAGAATACGGTATAAAAGGATCCCCATTTTCCCAAACCCTAATATTCTTCTATCACACCGCTCTCCCTCCTCTTTCTTTTCTCTCTCCTCCTCTTTCTTTTCTCTTTCTTCTTTTTCCTTTCTCACGCTCCTCCATCTCCTTCTCTTTCTTTTCTCTTTCCTTTCCCCTTCTTCTCTTTCCTTTCTCCTTCTTCTCCATTTTCACATCTCTATTTTCGTTCTCCATTTTCATTCCCAATTTTCGCATATCCAGTTTTGTTCGCATCTCACGCCACGACAAGAAAACAGCTGGATTCCGACGGAATTTTTCCGTCGGAAAATGGCCTTCCGACGGAATTCCGTCGGAATCAGTCCGTCGCAATACCCTTTGTAGGAAATTTGACGTTTTTCGAGGGAAATTCCGTCGGAAGCCACTTTTCCGATGGAATTTCCGATGGAATTCATTCTGTCGGAGTTGGTTTTGACTTTAAACGAAATTCTGTCGCAATTTTCCGTCGGCGTTGGAGAGGTTTCCGACGGAAATTTCCGTCGGAAGAGGAATATTCCGTCGGAAGAGGTATATTCCGACGGAAATTTCCGTCGGAATAATCAGAAAAAAAAATATTAAAAACAAACCAGCACCACCCCAACCACCCTACCCCACCCTGTCCAGCCACCACTTCCCCACCTAACCAACCCCCTAAACCACCCACACCCACCACCACGCTTAACCACCTCCAACCCACCCACACCCACACCACGCCTAACCCCACACCACCCAACCACCTCCACCTAACCCAGACCCACCAAACCCAGACCCAGACCCACTTAATAACCCACACCCCATGGACCCCACACCACCCAGACCCCCCATCGAAACCTCCCCCACCACCCTGACTGGACCCCCACCCTACCCCACCCTGTCTAGCACCACCAACAGCCCAACCCAAATCGAAAAATAACAAAAACCAATTCGTAAAATAACAAATCGAAAAAAACAAAAAAAATTCATAACACCCAAATCGTACAATAGAGATCTGAAAAAAATACAAAAAAAATGAAATTAAACAAAAGAAATATATATACATTTATCTTCTGAAATTAATAGAGATCTGAAAAAAAAACCCTAGATCTACAATGTGCCGCCGTTAGGTTGGTGTCGTTGTTGGTTGTCGTGGTTGTCGTTGCTGCTGGTGTCGTTGTTGGTGTTTCAGGGTTTTCTGATGTCCTGCGGGAGAGTTACAATTCCGAGACTGGAACCGGACGCCTGTACCTGCAAAATAACGGAGACTCCTGAGAGCTCCGCCTCCAACGGTCAAGTTAGTACCTGATTAAGGAGTAATTAATACGGAAATTAAAGTAATAAGATCTCTCTAGGTGAGAGTGCTTAGTGTTGGTAATCTGCGTCGTTAGCGAGATTAGCCGGTTGTTGGTGTTCCGTAATAACTCTGTTCTTCTCTGCTTGATTTCTTGATTTTTCGATTACCTCACTAATGAGGATTAATTAAGTATTTATAGCCTTGAGAAGCGTGCAACTCTCTAGGTTTAAGGTAAACCTAGGGCTGACCGGGCCTCTAGACTGGATTGGGCCTTGATGGCCGGTTTTCCCATTTGGCATGGGTGGACACGTGGCGTGCCTTGATTGGTCCGTAGAGGACGTATCTGTGACTGACACGTGGCAGGTTCCTATTGGCCTACGTGAAGGACACGTGGCGGAACCTGGTTGGTCCACTTGCCAGACGGTGATTGGTGGATAAAAATCCCCTAATCATTTGCCCCTCACAGGTGGCACGTGACTGGTCACGTGTCGCCTGTGACAGGTGTCGCACGGTGACAGGCGACGGCCTGCTACAGATGTCACCTTGCAAACGGCCGAGAGATTTTCCCGCCCAAATTTTGAATTTGGAAGCGACCCTTCGCCTTCTCACTTTGCCTATAAAAGGAAGTGCTGACTTCGGTCATTTTCACATTTGAGAACTTTGCGAGAACATTCGGACCCCTGAACTTGCTCTGACATTTCGGACCCTTTCTGCCTACCGCCTGTTCTGACAAGCCGACTGCACCGGACTTCCAGGACTTCATCAACCATCACTCGTTCAGGTAACTCAGTTCTCTTACTCTTAATTTTATTTTTATTTTTTGAAATGGCACCACGGAAGCACACGACACGACCTAAGTTAGTGATCAACCGGTCACCGGGGACGGCTGAATCTAGGACTAGGAGTGCCGCCTGCCCTTTTCTGGACCCATCTTTGCCCTTTATACAAAGTCCGACTGTATCTGTGTCTATGCAGAACGTGATGGCCAGAACGAAACAGACTGCTATGATATCAAACTCAAACGGCTCCTCCCAAAGGGTGCTCCTTAGTGAAACATCTGACCAGGCGCCAGATGTAGAATTGAAACGAGGCGACTGCCAAGCCGACAGTTCTGAGAGAGGGGCCAAGGTGGTCCCTTCCCATCTTACCGTTGACATGTCTAATTTCCCTCCTGCTCCTTCTAAGGGAGAGGAGGCGGGCCCCTCTGGGAGAGGGGAGGAGTCGTCCTCTTCGGACTCGTCAGAGGACGAGTCCGAGTCCAGCTCTTCTGGCCACAGTTCTCCAGGCTCAGAAGAAAGACATAGCCGCCTACAAGAGGCGAGACTTTCTCATGCAGTTGAGAAGGGGGACAATTGGGCGGAGCCGTCCGCCTCTTACAGAGAGGAAAACGCCCCCTACTACTGCAGGGTACCCCGGGGCCGGATCGCAACCATGCAAGACAACGTGGCGAGCTTTATTGCTAACCACAGAATGGGCCCGGAATTTTTACTGTTCGTGCCGGATCCAGAAGACACTGTCGTCTGGCCGGCTGGTACCAGCTATGGTGACGGCTGCTTTGGCTGCTATGTGGCGGCCATCAAAGCTGGACTGCGCTTCCCATTACATCCGGCTGTTCAGCGGATTTTAGATGGGTATGATCTGTGGTTATGGCAGTTAGCCCCCAACTCTTGGGTAAACGTACTCGGCTATGTGGCCGGGTGCGAAATGTACGGGGTGGAGCCAAGCTTTGAGGCTTTCGCCCACATGAACTATCTCAGCCGGACCCCTAAGTCGGGAGGTACCGGCTGGTACCAATTAACAAGCCATAGGGGTTACCTCATGACGAGAGGTAAGGCGAACAAATGGAAGGATTGGCGGAACACCTTCCTTATTATCGAGGGTTCAGACACGGAGCTGAACAAACGCTTTAACAAGTGGAATAGGGATCCGCCTCTTCTCGCAGGCGGCCGCAGCATGCCGCCTGTTCCCCCAAAGGCTAAAAAAGAGATCCTAGACAAAGGACTCTTCAAAGTAGAGACTAGGGTGAACTCTACTTCAGGGGTACGAGAGCAAGTACCCCTAAACTGCGTCCCGAGCTTCAAGTGGCTCTATGACGAGTACTTTTTGGCCGCCTGTGGCCTCAGCAGTCGGTGATCTAGAGGTAGCCGGCCTGACAAATACTCTGTTTTTTCACGCCTTGTTTACTTGGGATTTTTACTAACTTTGCTGTTTATTTCTTGCAGCTGACGCCATGAGTAAGATAACAGCATCCAAGACTGCGGCGGCCATGTTGCGGGCCTCGCTCATGAAACAGTCGTATGCCGACTCCCCCAACAAGGAGGCACCCTTGGTAAGCTTC